CATTAATTTTTCCTTTAACAAAAAAAAAACAGAGGACTAACCTGATGAAACCCAACTTCTCTAGTCAACGGAACACCAAGCTCCGACATACAAGCATGAATCCGATCATCGGAACCATACAATTCCGGATATCTTTGAATACACCGATCTTGCATTTTCTCTAAAGCTTTAGCCAATGGATAACTAATCGCAAACCCTCCACCTCCATAAGCCATACCATAAGAAAATTTAATATTCTGAATATGACTCTCCGACGAACTTCCGATGTAATAAAACTGCTCATGATCGTACTTTCTCAAAACCCTAATCAAATTCTCCGGAAAAAACACAGTATCATCATCTCCCATAACAATCCACCTCACGTTTTTCTCAGACTCTGTTCCGTTTAAAAGCGTAACCATCTCGGACACGATTCGTGTCAGTCTAATCGCCGACCGGTTACCTTTTGGGTATTTATACTTAAACCTCGCCGTGTCGGAGGAGATTCTGATCGGAGGCAAGGAGGACGAAACGGTGTCGTTTTGGTTAATGTGTTTGTCTAACCAAACGACACCGTTCATGCCCTGTTTCCACCAGAGCTTCACGTAGTCTCTACGGTGTTTCCACAGCTTCGCAGACGCGGCGATTCCGAAAACCACGTGGTTGATCTCGGTTTGTTGTTCCGGTTTTGGAATACCGGATCCGGTTAGTGAAACATCGGTTTTGATTAGAGATCGAGGTGGAGAAGAGGAGATGAGATTAAGAGGGTAGAGAATGAATTGGAGAGAGAATATAATTGCGAGAGTTATGATTAGTTTAGAGATAAGCCAATAGAAAGAAGTTTGTGAATTACATGAAAAGGTTTTAGCTTTCTCGTGAGAAAAAGGTTTTTGATCTTTCTTACACTCTCCCATGGCGGAAAAAAGTGTTTTTTTTCCTCCGGCGAAGCTTCTGAAACTACGCCGTTTTGGCCGTGGTGGTGACTCGTGAGCTTTTTTAGAGAGAGCTCTTATAAGTAGAAGATGAATCGA